GAGGATGTGACATATGGTTACATGCTGTTTTTATTTTTAAAGTGTGTAGCATACTTTCAGAAAGTCTTACCAGTATCTCAGAAGCCTCCCTCATACCACCTTCTGGTCACTACTGGTCGTTCTGACTTTTAACTGATGAGTTTTACCTGTTTTTGAACTTTCTGTAAATGACACTATATAGTATACACTTTATGTGCCTGGCTTCTTTGACTCGGTGTTCTCTTTGTGAGCTGCACGTATGCTGTATGTAGTGATTGTTACTTCATTTCATTGTTTTTAAATATTCCATTGTATGAATATACTATAATGTATACAGAATATTGTTGACAGACATTTGGGTTTAATTTGGGGCTATTAGGAACAGTGCTCCTATAAACATATTTGTTTATGAGTCTTTTGGTGAGCATATGTACTTATTTCTGTTTGGGTGTATAGTTAGGAGTGGAATTGCTAAGTCATATGGTATGTTAAGTGTTCAGCCCCAGTAGATAATACCACTTTTGCTAAGTGTTAAACCCTGTCTATGCTTCCTTAGCAGTAGGTGAGAGTTCCAGTTTCTCTGTGTCCTTACCAATACTATGTATTGTCTTTTTCATTTTAGCCATGTTGGGGACAGTGTAGTGGGATCACATTATGATTTTATCTTGAAAACTAATGAAGGGGAGCCCCTTTTCATGTGCTAATAGGTTATTTGGATTTTCTTTGGTAATGCCATTTTGATGTTCTCCTTTATGCTCCTTGAAGCGTTTCCCATTTTTCTATTGGTTTATCTCGTGTCCTTATTGAGTTGTAGTTCTTTATATATTCTGGATAGTAATCAGTTGTCATTATACATACTACAAGTATCTTTTACTCTAATTTGCCTTTTCTCTTTATTAATAGTATTGTGGGATGAACTCGGTTTTATTGTCTTCCAGTTTATCAATATTTTTCTTTTCTGGTTAGCAATTCTTGTGTCCGTTTAATAAGTGTTTGCCTACTCCAAGATCATGGAGATGTCCTCTGTCATCCTCTAGATATGTAATTATTTTACCTTTCACATTTAGATATATAGTATATCTAGAATTCATGTTTGTGTATGTGTGTGTGGTATAAGATAGAAGTCAGGATTCATTTTATATAGGGATAGTGAATTGACTGCACTATTCTATCTTTGTTCCAAAAACACATTCCTGTAGCTCTATACATCTTGTTGTTTTCAATTAAAGATTTTATTTATTTATGACAGAGAGAGATAGCGAGAGAGAGAACACAAGCACAGGGGAGAGGGAGAGGGAGGAGCAAGCTTCCTGTTGAGCAGGGAGCCCGATGTGGGGCTCCATCCCAGGATGCTGGGATCATTACCTGAGCTGAAGGCAGTTGCTTAATGACTGAACCACCCAGGCGCCCCATACATCTTTGTGACATGGTAATGAATTTCTCCAGCTTTGCTGTTCTTAGTGCTTGTCTTGGCTATTCTGGTTCCTTTCTAGTTCCATAGCATTTTAGAATCTTAGTTTCCTTCCACTTGTAAAACAACTTAGAGTTTGATTGGGATTGTATTGAATCTAAGGATGGTGAACTGACATTGTATAAAGATGTCTTCTAATCCAGGAATGTACATTGCATATCTATTTATTTAGGTATTATTTAATTTCTCTGTGTTTTGTAGTTTTCAGAAGAAGAATCTCAAATATCTTTCAGATTTATTTCTAACTTAAAAAAACAATTTCTTGAGATAAAATTTATACACTATATTAATCATTTTATTTTTGAATTTTTTATTTTTTTAAAGATCTTATTTATTTGTCAGAGAGAGAGAGAGAGCTGAGGCAGAGGGAGAAGCAGGCTCCCCACTGAGCAAGGAACCTGATGGGGAACTCTATCCCAGGACCCTGGGATCATGACCTGAGTTGAAGGCAGACGCTTAAATGACTGAACCACCCAGGTGTCCCTATATTAACCTTTTATTTTATTTTATTTTTAAAGATTTTATTCATTTATTTGAGAGAGAGAGAGTGAGAGAGAGCATGAAAGTGGGATGAGGGGCAAAGGGAGAAACAGACTCCTCACCGAGCAGGGAGTATGATGTGGGGCTCCATCTGATGTAGGACTCCACCCAGGGACTCCGGGACCATGACCTGAGCCCAAGGCAGAGGCTTAACCAACTGAGCCACCCAGGTGCCACTAACCATTTTAAAGTGAAGCAGTGTTGAACAACCACCACTCTGTCTAGGTCCAAAACATTTCCATCACTGCAGAGTAAAACTCCATAAGCAGTTTCTCTTCACTACCCATGCTCCTCACCCCTCAGCCCCTGCCAACCACCACCAATCTGTATTCTGTCTATATGGATTGATTTATTCTGGATATTTCTATACATGAAATCAGTGTGGTATGTGATGTTTTGTATCTGGATTATTTCACTTAGTATGTTTCTAAAGTTCATTTCCCTTGTGCAGTGTGTGCCAGTTCGTCATTCCTTTTTATGGCTGAAGAGTATTTCATTGCAGGTGTATGCTGTTATTTGTTTATCCGTTTATCTGTTAATGGACATTTTGGGCTATTTGTACTTTCTGGCTGTTGCAGACAGTGCTGCTATAAAAATAGGTATGTACGTGGACTTGTTTGAGTACCTGTTGTCAGTTTTTTAGGAGTGGAATTGCAAGGTCATACAATTCTGTGTTTAACTTTTTAAGGCACCACTAACCTTTCCCACAGCAGCTGAACCGTTTTACATTCCCACAAGCAGTGTACATGGGTTTTCTCTTTACTCATCAGTACTGGCTATTTTCCATAGTGTTTTGGATGGTGTGATAAGTGATATAGTTTTTTTTTGTTGTTGTTACTTCATTTTCTGTGTTTCTGATGTATAGAAATACATTTGCTTTTTTTTCATATAAAACTTAAATTTTGTGACCTTTTTAAATTCACTTAATTTAAATAGTTAATGTATTTATTGGATTTTCTCTGTTCATCTGAATTTCTGATTTTCACAGGCTTTCTTACTCTTCTGTTCCTTTTCCATAGTAGTTTGTTTATTTTATGGATGCAGTATTCTTGTGAATGGCTTGAAAAATTTCTATTAGAATTTAAATTCTCTTTGTATTTTTCATTCTTTTTGTTTCCTTTGTGATTGATTCTTTTGCTTTTCATTTTGATCCTTAATTTTGTTGGGCATTTCTTAAATATCTGGTGATCCTTGGTTATCTATTCATATTTATGAAGGACCAGGATGACTAGTTTTGGTGGTTCATACTGGCTTCCTCTCAGTTATTTGAGGTCTGTTTTTCCAAAAGAGCTTTTCTCTAGAGATTATTGATTGAGAATTCTGTGTGAGTTTGTCTTAAAGTCCAACAGGAGTCGGGTAGGCTTAGGACCTAAAATTTATTCTGAGGCTCAAGTGCTGTGAGAGACTTTTTTCCTTTTGGTTGGTTTAATTTCCTCTCTCCTGATTCTCCACCTCCCCCACCAAAATCTGTGGATGTTAGGAGTGATGCCAGGCTCAGCCCTACTTCTCTTTTGTTCCTAGAACCCATGCTGGATGTTCTTCTCAGCAGAACTGAATACTAAGCCTTGGGAGCTCAAGTTTATACAGGAAGTAAGACTGTCATGAGTGGCTCTGCTGTTGTGTGAAGCAGTCCTTCAATTACCTTGATTTCCCTATGCTTTAATTCACAGGCTTGATCCCTAGCTTAGTCTTCTCTGTTCAGCAGGGTGGGATATCCCTTGGCTCCATGCATATCCTTTTCTATGCTTACTTTGCTTTAGTTGCTGTTTCTTCTGCTATGGCTTCTCTGTCAGTTTAGTCTTGGCGGTTTCTTCTAGAAATAATTTCCTTCTTTCCTTCCATCTCTCCCTCCTTTCTGCTTGTTAATGTGTCTATTTCTTTGGATTGTTATGAATTTATTATTTTATCATTATGAAAAATTTGGACATAACATACATGTGTCCACTCCCTAGCATAAAGAAAATGTAAATACAGTTGATGTTGAAAGCTCTTCTCTGATTGTATCGCACTCCCTCCCGTGCGTCTATTAATATTATCCTGTGTGTGCATTTCTAAACAGTAAAGAGCATTGTTTTCAATGTGTTTGAGCTTTGAATAGTGACATACTGCATAAATCCTTCTGCATCTTGTTTTTTTCCCGTTCATCATGGTTCTTTTGTTTATTTGTTCTCTTAGTATGCTGTCTTTTCTGCTGTTTTAGTAGAATTTGGACAGGGAAGATAAGTCAGCCAATGTATTTCTTTCTGTGACTTTTTTAAAAGGGAGATTTAAGCACCTTTTGGATATATTGTCACTACAGACGTGGAAGAGAAAGGACTTGGTGTTACCTCTTCTTATTCCAACTGGTGTTGATAGGTGAATATGATATTTCACCATCTTATACAAGCTAGGCTATTGAGTCTTGCTGCTGACCTCTCTTTGGTGTTATAAATCCTTTTGGAGTCAGAAAAGTAGGATTCATTTGTGTGTAGGGTTTAGCAGAGGTTTAAATGAAGATTTGGGTTCTTATTGCTGGAAGGAATTTTTAGAGGTCATTTAGTACAAACTGTACTAAAGAAGCCCAAGCCCAGAGAAGGTGAATGATTTGTCTGGAATGATCCAGGGGGAAAACAGGATCAGAAGCCAATTTTGCTGTTCATTATTCCTGCCACCTTACTACCGTGAACCAAAGATTAAAGTCCCCTTTTGTTAACATTTGACTTTAATTTTTGCCTGTCCTTTAAAATATTTCGAGGGGTGCCTGGGTGGCTCAGTGGGTTAAGGCCTCTGCCTTCGGCTTAGGTTGTGATCCCAGGGTCCTGGGATCGAGCCCCGCGTCAGGCTCTCTGCTCGGCAGGGAGCCTGCTTCCTCCTCTCTCTCTGTCTGTCTCTCTGCCTATTTGTGATGTCTGTCAAATAAATAAATAAATAAATCTTAAAAAAAAAAAATATTTCGATACCAAGAGATTTTTAGTACATAAGAATTAACATAAATCTTTGAACTAATGATTATTTGCTGTGTTTTCCTTAGGATCAGAATGGTTTCAATCCCAGAATACTATGAAGGCAAGAATGTCCTCCTCACTGGAGCTACCGGTTTCCTAGGGAAGGTACTTCTGGAAAAGTTGCTGAGGTCTTGTCCTAAGGTGAATTCAGTGTATGTTTTGGTGAGGCAGAAAGCTGGACAGACACCCCAAGAACGAGTAGAAGAAGTTATTAGTGGCAAGGTAAGTGGGGGAAAATGATCATTTAGAGGAAGGAAAAGAATGTGTTTGTATGTATAATTATTGTAATCATCAACAGCTCAGTTTATTTCTTCAGTGTTCTGAAAAAATTATTGAAAAAAAATCCTACAGGATGTCAGTATACTAGATATGACTTACGATCAGTAGGAGAAAAATAGCTTTCCTCTGTGATGGGCAAAATTGTATGACAAGTTCTAAAATGCCTGTATGTTAGATATTTAATGTGTTTTTAGAATATTTGAAACCTATTACTTGTAATTACTAGATATTTTAGATAGTATTCAGAATAATAATTAAGAGGTAGTTTCTAACTAGTACCTACTATGCTGTTAAACACTGTCCTTTTATAACACTTAAAAATTTGTAAGCACTGACTGCTCCGCACAACCATATTAAGAAGTAGCAAAGTCACATATTCCTATTTGAGAAATAAGAACATGATGACAGGGGTCATTTAGGATACAAGAATAGGTCACACATTTTGAAACTTTAGAAAAATATATTGTTAAGAAAAAATGGAAATGAGCTGGTGTAAAATTATCTCACAGTCATAAGCTTTGAATTCTCTCTGAATGAATGAATTTATCTGACATTCACTGGCAGTAAGTTTAGTGTAGTAGCTATGTAATTTTTTAGTTAGTAAGTAGTATCTAATATCTTTTGATCGCTTGTAATTATTATGTTTTAATCCCCCCTCCTAACAACTCCCTCCCCTAGTAAGAGGTTATTTATTGTTACTCATTTCTTATATTTCAGAAAACATTTACTGTACATACTCAGTGTTGGGCACTTGATTTGTTGTAAGGGGTTGAATTCAGGTATAAATAAGATAGAATCATTGCCTTAATGGGCAAGAGGGAGTATAGAAGTGTCAAGAAAGACTTGATAGGAGCAATTACTGATGTTAAAGTCTTGGCTGGAATTGAGAGCCTAAGTAAAATGTCAGAGGTTTGGCCATCTCCTATGGGGTCTCTAGGGCACTGGATCTAAAAACTTTCCTCCACAGTAAGTCTGATTTTTAGAGGAAAAGAATACCTTATACTTAAAGCTTGAAATTCTATTGAACTTTAGTAATTTACCTAATAATAAATTATATGGAGTTTGGATGTCAGAAGCTCCTCCCTCCTGGCCCAACTTCCCAGTTGTGACAACCAAAAATGTCTCCAGACATCACCAGATGTTCCCTTGGGGGAAACATTTCCCCAAGGTGAGAACCACTGATGAATGTTTCTGAGAAAAACTCCATTAATATGGTGGTAGGTTGAACTAAAATAATTGACCACGGAATAAGTTCTAGAAGGGGAACAAAGTATATTAAAGAGGCCATTAGTGAACATAATAAAGTAGGAACTGGTTGGGGTGCCCGTGGATTAAACACACTGGAAGAGATAGTGTTGAATAAAGAGATGGAGGCTAGAGAAGGGAAGAGTATCAGGTCTGAGATGTAACTTACGAAGCAGCATGAGCCTGTCTATCTTGTTGGTTTGAGATATCTGATATGAACAGGAGTTAAAGGTCAATGGCTGTGTGGGAGAATGAAAAGTGTAAATTTAAGGTATTAAAAGTACTTTTCTGGTCATTCCTCAGGTTGCTTTTTTTTCAGCCTGCCCCTTAAACATTGATATTCTTCAGAGTTCTGTCGTAGGCCTTGATCTCTTCTTACTAGATCCAGTTAGGTGATTACTCAGCACCCTTTATTTTACATGAGACAGATGATTGTATTTTAATAGATTTGGAAAAAGCTTTATCTAGTCTGGACCAAGGGTGCTCATCACTGCTGTTATCTGGGTGATCTTCTCTTCCCAGGGCTCCCTGTATGTGATTAGTAAAATCTGTGTGTAGTCTGGCTCTTCTCTTCCCTGAACTCCAGACCTGCAGACCCAGTTGCTTCTACTAGATCTGTGTTCTGGGTGTCCCACAGGCCCTTTACACCCAACATTCAAAAACTGATCTTGTGTCTCTAACTGTACTTTGTTCTCTTCCCAGGTCTTCCACTTAATTAGTTTATTCACTTAACAAAAGTTTACCATGTTTACATCTTGCCAGGTACTCAGCTAATTGGGACCTTAGTGCTGAACAAAATAGATGTGATCCCTGTCCTTGTGGAGTTCACATTTCCTTATCCCTCATATTTAGTCACTGGATAAGTCTTATTGAATTATTTTAACTCCCCAAATGTTAATGCTCTCTCACTTCTAGGTAGTTGTATATGCTGCTTTCTCTGCCTGGAACACTGTCGTTCTATTTTATAATTTCTGGTTCTTCCCCAGCTGGGTTAGTTTTTCTCCTGTACAGTCTCATAGCACTGTAATATTACCCCTATTTTATTACCTTTAACATAGTATTTTAATTGTGTTTACTTGTCTGGCTTTTCCTATCAAATTCTAAATAGCTTGCAGGAGAGATTGTTGGTTTGTTTTCTCAGTGTCTAGGAGGTGCCTGGCTCATCTGAAATGCTTTGTAGATGCTTGATAACTAATACAAGAACACATAAATGTTGAAATCACCAGATAACAGTAGTGGAAGGGAACAGTTAAATCCATTAAGGGAGTGAAAATGAGCATTATATATGCTGTATTGATTTTCTTCCCAGATTGAGAATCTCTGCTTAAACTACAAGTATGAACTTTAAATGAAGTGGAGACTCAAAGTATAATAGAGCAGTGATCTGGAGGTAGCATCTGTATTTCTTTATAAAATCCGAGATGAAAAATTAAATTTGACTCACAGTTGAATGTGCCTTTACCCTATAATCACCTTAGGAGCTAACTGATTCTTTAGTTGATTTATTTCTTCTAGTATACTTAAGGAATATTGTATATATGATATTTCTCAAGTTTGTCCAGATTCTAATCTGCATATTTGCTTACCAGCTTTTGTTTTCTTCAACATAATTTACTTTTTTTCCCCTCTAAAAATGTTGTAGGTTTTACAGATTTAATATAGATCATGAATCATGGTATTTTACTGTAATCTACTGTAACAGAATAAAACCAAAATAAAATGAAGTGATAAATTAAGATCTGGATTTTAGAAATCTGAATGATCATTTTAAACATTGTCCTGATGTCAAAAAAAAAACAACAACAAAAAAACATTGTCCTGATGTCTATACTGCTTAAGTCTATTCTGCGGGACAGTACAATATAATCTAGTCAGCAAAGGCATGGGCAGTTCAAATTTAATTGCAAACTACCAACTCTGTGTCTCAGATTCCTCATCTGTAAAATGGGGATAATAATGTGGTTTTCGTGGGGTATTTTCTGTACACAATGATAACAGTTAGGAATAGCAGTTTTAGGATTAACATAGTTGGAAGTTTTCAGAATAGCAATCCTTGATGGGGTGCTGGTGGGCTTTATAGAAAGTTGAAAAATACTGCCCTAACATTTTATCCCCTTGGATAGCTCTTTGACAGATTGAGAGATGAAAATCCAGATTTTAGAGAGAAAGTTATAGCGATCAACAGTGAACTCACCCAACCAAAACTGGCTCTTAGTGAAGAAGATAAAGAGATCATCATAGATTCTATCAATATTATATTCCACTGTGCAGCTACAGTAAGGTTTAATGAAAATTTAAGGTAAGTAAATGTATTTATATGACATTTGAGCTTCAGCATCGTTTAAAAAATTTGAATTCTTTTTAGTGAAATCGTTCTGAAAGTGATATAAAACTGTTTGCCCTATGTTAATTGTGGCTTTCAGTGTCCTAAAGACTGTTACGAGAATTTTCTTCTTGTTGCCAGTTTAGAAACATTGGGCAGCTAGTCTGTATATTAGAAGAAGTTGCCTTGAATTTAACTGTAAGGCAGGGAAGTATGGAGTAGGAGAAAGAAATTTTCCTTCAGTAGGTATGTTGGTCTTAACAGCTAAATAGTGTTTGTTTCCTCTTTCTTTCAGAGGCCTATATCTCAGTGGCTTTATTTTTTTATTCTGCACATATCCATCTGAAAATTAGAAAAAAAGAACTCAGGTTTTGCAGAGTAAGGTAAAATGGCTTATAAATTTAAGTCATACCTTTTTTTTTTTTTTAAACTTGGTAATATTATTAGGGATAGGCAACAGTGGACAGAAGTTTAATTACAAAAATAATTTAAAAAAAAGAAAAATAATTTGGACTTCTGTCAGGATGCCTGTTTCAAGAAAAAATAACATTTTACATGTTTACTGTTTTTAAAAAATCTCATAGATCTGCATTTCAAATAATGGTTCTTAATTTAGAGGATTCTTTTTGATGATATGTTCAAAAATACTGTTTTTTAATGTTTATCTAATTGTATAGACTTAACGCCAGTTAAAATGGGGCAGACTTTTTTAGGATTTAAAATTACTTGAAGCCCTTCTTAAAATGTTTTTAAATTAAATTTTGTTTATAAAGAGTTTTTAAGGGCGCCTCAGTGGCTCAGTGGGTTAAAGCCTCTGCCTTCGGATCAGTTCATGATCCCAGGGTCCTGGGATCGGGCCCCGCATCGGGCTATCTGTTCCGCAGGGAGCCTGCTTTTCTTCTCTTTCTCTCTCTGCCTGCCTCTCTGCCTACTTGTGATCTCTGCCTGTCAAATAAATAAATAAAATCTTAAAAAAAAAAAAAAGAGTTTTTAGATTATTTCCTGTAAAGTCTTTAATGTAGAAGTATAAATCTTAATTGACATTATATAATGTGACAGTTCAGCACTAAAGCATTACAATAAGTTTTGCCTGTATTCCAGGTGAGGGCACTGTGATAGTCACTTACATTTCTTTAATATACTTTATAGTTTTCAGGGTAAATTTTTTCATTCATTATTTTATGCCATGCTAAGGTTACCACTGTAATATTGTGGGCAAGTCCATTTATACTTGAGGAAGTTGAGACAGCACTGTGTCCTGGATAGGACATGAGTTTTGGAATTACATACCTTAGCTCTAACTTTGAGTTTATCATTTATTATCTGGTGATAATGATTTATTTACTTTCTAGTTGTTTTAATACAGCCATTATGTATTCATGATTCAAGAGTGACAAAAGAATCTCAGTAAAGCTATAGTAATATATCACTTTCACAAAAGGTATGTGTACATATATGTGTATTTATATACATTTTTGATACTTGCCACTTACTGTCCTTGGACAGTATGATAACAGGTAGGTTTTTAGTATTAAATCGTAATCTAACAGATATTTCCCTCCATAGTTCTAGCTTTCATTGTTTTTCATAACCAAAAGAAAATTCACACAGCCTTATGAAACTGTTTTCAAGAAAAAAAGGTATATATTTACTGGCTAATTGTGGTATAGTCCCCATTAAGCTTAAAGGGGGAATTTCGGTGCTTTTAAAGGGGAAGTTGATTTGCAAACGGAACATTAGGGTGAAACTCCTCAAAGGAGCCTTTACGGAGAACGACCAAAGTACAGTCCTTTCAGGGAATCTTTTCTCTTTTTTCCTCTTAGGGTAAGCAAGTCTACCATTGAGGAAAGGAAAATCTTTTCGTTATTCTTTGATCTTTTACTAGAGATCTCATGGTGCAAGGAGGATATATAGATGAATAATAAAATTTATTGCCTTGTTAAGGCATCTATATTTACTGACCTAACCTTAGTCATTACATTGAAATTATTGTATTCTGTGAAGCAATTTTAATGTATATTAATATATAAGTGGTGATATTGCAACATTATATTTGGGCCAGACATTTTAAAATAGTGTAGGTTGGTGTATAATAACTGCTTAAAAAACATTCTTCATAGTCATTTTTAACTTTAACTGACACAAATAAAAAATGGCACAAAGACTTTATTGCCAAGGCAAACAATAATCCAGATTTTACTCCCAGCATTATACCCAATATTTTGGAAGAAGCCAAGAAAAATTGTACACAGATTCTATTCGCAAAGTCCTTATAGTCTAAAAAGGGAGATAGATTTGCTTAAATAATTGTAAAGTAGGATAGAAAGTAAGGAGTCACTGAAGAGCATACATTAATTTCTGTGAGAATTGAGAGGTGGTAGAGCTCATTGATTTTCAGATATGATGGTTTATAAATCTTGAGGTGGGAAAAAGTGGGTAGATTAGGAATTGTGAAGAAATACTGACAAAAGATGAGGGGAGAGTGATACTGAGAATAATGAAGGGAACTTCTTAGTTGATCCTGGGGTCTGGTGTTTCTAAGGTAATAAAGAAAGTAAAGGTAGGACAGTGGAGTTGAGAATAAAGGAGTGTCAAGAAACTAGAGACCATGATGAGGACAGAAAACAGGCTTACAGGGAGAAATGGAAGGGCAGATGGTATGGTCTGGGGGAAATTCTTAGTATGAGATTCCAGAGATGCAGCAATTTAAATGTGAGAATATGCTAATATGAACATATGCATATGGGAGTAAGTATTTTGAAAGGCGTGGAAGTAAAGATGGATGATGAGAAAGGAATAAGAAGCTATTAAGTCTAAAGGGCACCGACTATCCCACTTCAGAATGCATTATATGAATCTTAGGAATTTCTGGAAAATGTGTTAAAATGCAGAATTTTAGACTCTATTTGCAAAATTCAGAATCTCTGGTTTGGGATAATACCCAGGAATCTTTATCGGCAATGAGACTCCTGAGTATGATTTTAAATTATAGATGTCTGGGTCCCCTACTGTAAGATTGATTAATTAGGCCCTAGACGTCTGTATCTATGTCTTCATTGAATTAAAAAAAAAAATCAGCAATACTGATGAGATCTCATCTAGGTAGTATTTTCTCAGAAGTGGGGAAGGGGAAAGATATCAAAATGGTTTGGGGAACTTATTTAAAATATGGTCTTCCAGGGGCAACTGGCTGGCTCAATCGGTAGAGCATGTGATTCTTGACCTCGGGGTCATGAGTTTGAGCCACATACTGAGAATAGAGGTTACGTAAAAAAAATAAAATCTTGAATATAAATATATATGTTCATTATATATAATTTAATATATAAAACTATGTAAATAAATATATACGTAATATATATAGTTTTCCAGGCTTCAATTCAGATATTACAAAGTGTCTGAGGATGAGGTCCAGCAATATACATTTTTAATAAGCTCTCAGGTGTTTGTCATGCCAAGCTGAGATCTCTGGTTTAAAGTCTTAGAAGTATTACCAACACAGATTTTGAACCATCCAGGATATCTGCACAAGGCAGATGAACAAGAAGATTTATTGGCAGTTCAAATAGAGTTCTTTCTTTCTTTTTTTTTTTTTGGAAGTGATTTCTATGTCTGCATTAATGACGGACCATAATTAACAGAGATGTGTTCATTTTGCCCCCTCCTCCAAAAGCTAATGTTATTTGAGATGATTTATGGCTCCATATAATCAAACGATGGGAATATTATTATTATTTTTTGGCTTTCTGATCTAACATGTCAGGGTCTCAGCCTGAAATTGAATGGTGGTAAAACATAGTGAGATTATTAGCCTTGCAGAGATACTGAGAGTTACTTATGTAGGTATATAATGTGCTTTCAGGTTTGTGCTCTCAGGTATAGGGGTAGCAGACAAGGTACAGGAATGTTCTCTCTGAAATTATTCCTTATTTTCAGTGACCCAGAAATTCTGCCGTCCTCAGGAACCTGTAACAGAATATCCTTTGTGTACTGCTCCCAAAACATTACTCTCCCTTGCTTCATTGTTTTACAAATGCAAAAGAAAATAGCATATTGCCTTACAGTCTAGTGGACTGTATCCTCTCTGTGAAATGTCTTTTTTGCTGAATTTCCATTTGAGCAGATTTTCCCCCCTCAGTTGAGATAAAGAAGCAAAAAGATACATTTGTGATCATAAGACCTCAAACCAATTACTTCATTAAAAAAAAAAAATTCCTTCTAGTATGTTTTCATGAACCCTCGGATACTATTAAATTAAAGGAAAAAATAATGCACAGGACTTTTTCTCTCTTGAATTATTTCTTGTTCTTGGTGACCCAGAACTTGTTGTCCTGTCCTCAGGAACCTGTAACAGAATATTTTCTGTATAGTTCTTCTCAAAACAGTACCCTCCCCATCCCCATTGTTTTCCAAATGTGAATAGATATCAAAGGACTGCTTTATACTCAAGTGGACCAGATTCTATCGGTGACATATCCTGGTCTTTTAAAAGAATAATTGGATATTTTTCTTCTTAAATACTGAAAATGTAAGAACTTGGGGAAGTACTTAAAAACTATTATAATTTTAAAAACATTCCCTTGTGGTCTGTCTTTGATCATACATTGTTTTATGTAAAATGTAAACAAAGAGCTTCTGATTTTACTTAGGGAAATAATTTCCACATTTCTAGTTTTTTTCATAGTTAAAATTTTTGTGATGTGATGGTATTCCACCATGTTGATATATCATAATATGTGTATAATGTTCACTAGGTATAGCAAATTTAGGAAATTTTCGTTTCTTTCTTTGAAAAATTACAGTTAGAACAAGTTTTTCCTTTGAGTTAATTTCAGTAGGTTAACTAGGTTAGTAATTATATCATTTCTGTACTTTCCGGTACTTTGTGTTATTCTCTTTTGAATCAGTTATATCAGTGTGGTCACCAACAATGTATTACTTGGCCAGTTTTATTACAGTATTACTGGGGTTGAGTATATCAACTTTTTTTTCGTTCAAATAACAAGTAAAAACTACCCACCAGCTAATTACCGTTAGTTATATTTACTGAATGCCTGTTTTAGTGCCTGTCTAGGAATGAATAATGCTAAATATTTGCAAGCTATTTATTTCACTTAATTTTATACAAATCCTAGTAGGTAGACTGTTCCCATTTACAGGTGAGGAAATTGAGGCCTGAGTGCTTGACTAACTATATAAGGTCCCTGAGTGCTAGCTCATGAGTAGCCCAAGTCAGAATTTGAACCCAGGTCTTATTCCAGAGACTTGTTCTTAATCATGCTTTACTTTACAATATATGTATTTTTAAAATATTCATGCAGATTTCCCATGTTTTCATACTTACCATATAATTATTTTAAATGACTCTATTCTTCTGTTACGATAAAATACCTGCTTTGTTAAAGTTTATTTATTTCATTCATAGTAAACATTTATGTTCTCTAGTCTTTTGCTATTACTAGATGAGACTTCATTATTTTTCTGCATATATATTTTTGCATTTGTGAAATTATTTACTTCAGATAAATTTCAATGAGAGAATACTATTTAGATCATTTTTGTGTCTTGCATGTGCCTCTTGTGATAAAATATACCCATTTTATTATAATACACTTTTGAAATTGTAAGCTGGTCTTTAAAAAGTATTTGTATTAATTGCTACACAGGGAAATAAACATATTCTTACTTGATTATATGTTAATATGACTTAATGTTTCTGAGTTTTCTTTGACTGTTTTACCGTTATTGGTGACTCTGCCTTAGCATTTTAAAATTACTTGACCATTCTGATTACTTATTTGTAATTCCATATCATGAAACAGTGTATTTTTAAAAATCAAGGTGCAAGAGAAGTGTAACATGACTTCAAAATGTATGTATAAAAGCCAAAGACTGAAGTTACGTATGTTTATTTCTGGGTAATTTAAAAATTTTAATTTTTTTTTTTTTAAATCCTAGTGTGAGGCTTCTTTTATAAAATCAGAATATCTTTCTTTTTAAATTCAACTAATAGAATGGATGTACTTTATATTGAAATAAGATACAAGACCAGACCTAAGGGATTAGTTGTAAAGAAACAAAAAAATCTGTCTACTGGAAATAAAAATATTTTAGCAGGTGAAATAAATGACTTTCTAATTTTTCACTGGGAAAGCTTCCTAATTTTTCATTGTCACTTTTTCTTTTATAGAGATGCTGTTCAGTTAAATGTGATTGCTACACGCCAGCTTATTCTCCTTGCACAACAAATGAAGAATCTGGAAGTATTCATGCATGTATCAACAGCATATGCCTACTGCAATCGAAAGCATATTGATGAAGTAGTCTACCCACCTCCTGTGGATCCCAAGAAGCTGATTGATTCTTTAGAGTATGTTTGTTTTATTTTTTATTTTATTTTTTTTAAGTTTTTTTTTTTTAAGATTTTATTTATTTGACAGACAGAGATCACAAGTAGGCAGAGAGGCAGGCAGAGAGAGAGAGATGGGGGGAAGCAGGCTCCCTGCTGAGCAGAGAGCCCGATGTGGGGCTCGATCCCAGGACCCCGGGATCATAACCTGAGCCGAAGGCAGAGGCTTAACCCACTGAGCCACCCAGGTGCCCCTAGAGTATGTTTGTTTTAAATTGATACACATTTGATTTGATCCCAAAACCTTGGACCCACGTTTATCTATTTGTGTGTATTTCTTGGTCTATTTCAACTTCTCTCTCTTTCTCTCTCTCTCTCTATACCTACACGTATCTATACATTTATCTCTTCCTTATTCAACCAATTATTACATATCTACTGTGTTCTTACTGTGCAAATTTATATCTGAATGACTGTTGCTGAAGTCAGGGTGGATCTTTCATATTTGACCAGGTGTGAGGGTTGGGGGAAGGTCTCTGAACAACCCATCCAAGATATTAGGGCCTCTGTTTTCCAGGGAGTTAATCTAGCAACTATAAGAAGTGCCTGATACCCATGGAGACTAATGACTTGGCTGTTCAATGGCAAGGTTCTAATTGATTAAAAAATTATCCTTTTTTCCCCTAAGTGGAGAGTATCTGTGTAGAGGCCTTAAATTATTAGATGATCCAGTCCCATTCCTTTAAATGACACCCCTAGTGTTATTGTTTATTATCTTTCTGAGGACTAGGATCATATCAGCAATTATTTGAGAAATACTTGTGAATATTTGATAGATATGGCATAAGTGAAGTCAGCAGGGTCAAGATTTCATTTACTTCAGGCTGCACTTTCTCATCAAGTGAACCAAACAAATAGGATCAGAGCAAAAACAAAAAGAATGGTCTTTCCTTCTTTAGTGGACTAGAGTTATGGAAAATTCTTGGTCCATCATATCTGAACATATTTATTAATCAACTCCAATAACAGCCCTGTGGACTTTGTCCTCCTTTGTTCTTCTCTGTTTCCCTTAGGTTTCCTTTCTTCTTAGAGATCCTGTCTACTTTCAGCTCTGTCTACTGTCTCTGCTTTCTCAAATTATTTTTTTCCTAAGGATGCTAGAGAGTGTTCATTGTTTTTCCCAAGTTTTTTCCTAAAGTAAGCACATATAAGTCTTTTTCTTTAAGGCTTTCCTGCTGATCAGTGTGAGGAAGCAGACAGGTTATAAGAAAATAAGTAAGAATAGGAGTTTACCAAGACATTCTTAAAATTCCCTGTTTCTGTTTTCTGACTCCCATTTCTTAGATGGTCCCAAATACTTACCTCCTTGTCCCCGCAGGTCAGTAGTCAGAAGTGCTTACTATCTCAGGGAAAAGTTGAATGCAGAAGCTAATGAATCTTTTTACTTTTTCTCTTTTTGGTGGTTGGTATATCTAAACATCTAAGTTGCTGAGAAAGCACTTGTAATTCTGTATCTCTTTTCTTTGCGCACAAAGAAATCTAGCTAACAAATCATTTTAGGGCAGCTCATAGATTGGCTCTGTAAACTCACTCCCAGTGATGAGGCTTCCTGGCTAATGTCTCCTTGGTTTAGCCAGTTCATACTTTATGCTGTTGTTCTAGTGCAGCAACTGTTCCATTTTTTAAGACTCCTCTCCACTGCGGAATTTTTCCTAAGTTGAGTAGCAACCTCCCTTCAGTTTCACTAGATTCTTTTTCTTCCACACACAAAAAGTACTTCTACACACAGAAGAAAACTTATCTTGATAATGTTTTATGCTTCCTCGTCAGTTAGTATGGGTAGTTTTAGAGTGTGGCATTATACTGAATGTACAACTCTGCATATAACATTATAGACAAGAAGAGTATCTGAAAACAGGTACATAACATAGTGGAATTGGAAATGTAGAATTGGAAAGACGATGGATATCATCTAGTATATCACCCTCCTTTTACAGATGATCAGAGTAGACCTTTTCTTCAGAGACACTACGAGAATTAGAGGAATTTTGTGACTTCATAGTAGGTTGCTAATTGAATTTTTATAACATGGTTCAGTGCATTTTATCATTTACCTTAGTATTTGTCAGTCTTGCTGGTGAGAACGTAACATTTTAAGGGCTTTACATGAACTACTTAGATCCTTAGACCTTTTATATTAATTATAAATGTGTGTTCATTGCAAGTAATTAACATATGGTGCTGTTTTGGTTGTTATATGGTGAATCTGTAATTCCTAATCTGAAACCTTTGCGGCCAGATATATTTTGGAATTTCTCTGGATGTCAGTAAGGAAATGTAATCTATGTACTCTGTAATATGAAGTAACTTCAGCTAGATCCGGGGTAGTACCCCTGATCAAACGTATATGAAGTGTACGAATATTTACCCGAAGTGGTACTTTTTAAAAGGCCATAAATCAGTTCAGATCAGTTATTACCACCATCATATTATTTATGAAAGAACTCTGTTGGCTTTCAGAGCTTTCGGGATATAGAAATTACATATAAGAGCTGTGGACTTGTAGTTGATGTTTAATGAAAGTAAGATTCACTTCCTTTTTTTTTAGTAAAAGTTGTCAAATCATTTGAGTCAGCAACAGATATGTTGAATATGCAAAGTTAAGTGGTTTTGATTTTATAGTAAAACATCTGAAAATATTTTTGCATGCAATTTCTTTGCTAACCAGGTGGATGGATGATGGCCTAGTAAATGATATCACACCAAAGTTGATAGGAGACAGACCTAATACATACATATACACAAAAGCATTGGCAGAATATGTTGTACAGCAAGAAGGAGCAAAGCTAAATGTGGCGATTGTAAGGCCATCGATTGTTGGTGCCAGTTGGAAAGAACCTTTTCCAGTAAGTTGTGAGAAATCTTTGTGAATAATGGAATTGAGAATTTTAAGTCTTATCTTTGTATAAAAGGAGGTGGCAGTTGTTTGAGCAGGTGTTATTTACTGTACCTGGCTTACTATGGCAAAATTGTTCTCATTCATAGAAAGAGACACTTATTGGTACTTTTTTGTAATGTGATGCTGTGTATATAGAAATGCAGATAAACATTTAAAAAATCTTAACTGAAAATTAAATGAAAGGCTGCGATGTTGTCTGGAGTCAAAGTGGACCTTGCATTTTACGTTTTCTCTGTAACTGGCAAGATATTGGACTCTGACACATCAGCATTTGTTGGATTTTAAAATTATTTACCTTTTTTTTTTTTTTTTTTTTTTTTTGGTACCATTAGTTTCCCTTGTGGAGATGAAAGAAATAGAGATAAGAGTATTCAGGAACTGATTTTATTTTGTTTGAAATAGAGGCAAGCCTTCCAAGCCTTCCCTGTAAAGATCATAAGCTAAGAAAAGCATAAGAGATTTCTATGATAATTTGCTGTAGAAAACAGGCTATTAATGGTATTTGTGAATCCCTGGAATAAGAGAAAATAGATCTAAACTAAGAGATGAATTGATTTACAAAACACCTAGGTCTCTGTAATGATAGTAAGTGAGAGCATGTCTTTGTTGTTTTGACAGTGTTGTCTTTTCCTCTGTTTTATTCAGTAATTTTGAGGAGGATTTCCCATTTCCTCCTAATCTCAGGATGCTGCTTCAGTAAATAGAACAAAATCAAAGTTGAGTAGGTGTAATTTAGCTAAAATATTTGACAGATATAAACTCCTTTTTATTGAATTCTCTTTGTAGTGAGTTAATGGAAGAGTAGGTAACCCTTTGAAAATGACTTAATTTCACCATTTGCAGTATCAGGAGAACACTGCTTCTGTTATAGAAGGAGAGAAATACTCTGATCTGAATGCTGTCTTTTTTAGTTTTTAGAAGACAACTAAGTATATATATGGGGTTGTATATTTCAAATAATAAATCTCTAGTTTATAGTATTTCTAAGCTCCCCCTATTTTTAATTTTTGTATTAGGGATGGATTGATAACTTTAATGGACCAAGTGGTCTCTTTATTGCGGTAAGTAAAACTTATGACTTACTTAACATCCTGCATATTTTTCTGTTTTCTCTGTGTGTGTGTGTGTGTGTATATGCTCTCTGGCTTATAAATCTTAAGGTGTTGTTTTTAATTTCAACAAAGGCAGGGAAAGGAATTCTTCGAACAATGCGTGCCTCCAACAATGCCCTTGCAGATCTTGTTCCTGTAGATGTAGTTGTCAACACGAGTCTTGCGGCAGCCTGGTATTCCGGAGTTAATAGGTATATGAGGTGACAATGTCTCTTGTTAAATACATAGTAACTGTGAAGGGAAAGCAGAGTTAATGGCTAATGTTATTAGTCCCTCAGTACTGATAATTTCCATATCAGTAGGTACAGGTATTATCACTTCCAGTTGTAGGAATTGATTTAATCATAGGTAATATAGCAAGTAGTCCCATCAGTTGTCATTAAGAATTAACATTAATTTTCATATACTATCTTTAGGATAGACAAGTTCACTTGGGATTAAGAATGAGAAAAACCCAAAACCCTGCTACTCCCCAGTGCTTTTTTAATCCAAAGTAAAACTTGGTATAGTCATATAAAAATCTGAAATTCTCAGAGAAAGGCTTACATATATCAAACATGGCATACTAGAGCAACTTTAAAGATTTATCTATTTATTTGTTTCTTTGTTTGTTTGAGAGACAGAGAGCCCACAAGCAGGGAGGAGGGGCGGGGGGGGAGCAGACCCCCCCCCATTGAGCAGGGAGCCTGATGTGGGGCTTGATCCAAGGACCCTGGGATCATGACCTGAGCTGAAGGTAGACACGTAACTGACTGAGCCACCCAGTTGCCCCACTAGAGCAACTTTAAGTAACTCAGGTCTCTTTTTAAAAGGGAGTAGTATCATTTACAGGTAACTCTTAAATTTTAAGCTTTTCAACATTTTTTTCTCTAGTCCATAAACTGCCCTTATTTTTTAAATCAGAATTTTATATCCTAAAAAAGGAGGGATATGATTATATAAGTATATTGTTTCTGGTAAAAGGGAACTCAGTCTGTAAGTTTTAAACTAAAACCTCTGGGAATGAGAAGGAGATAGGAAGAGCTGAGGTTGTTTGTCATTGTTGTTTTCCTTACATTTAAAAACAAGATACCACTGCTATTATAAGGAAGAAAAATATGAGAAGAGAAAAATACTGAATTTTTTTATAATAACTTTTTTGGTGGGGGGAAGGGTGGTTGTAAATAGTCCTTCAGACACAAAGATTAATTGTTTAAGGATGGTTTTTAAAATAATCAATGTAGAAAAGGTACCCATTATCCTTATTTCTTCCTACTTGAATATTGTATAAATTCAGATTGGATAAGTTTGGCCTCTTTTTATGTTTCATTGCTTTGATCTTTATCTTTGCAGACCAAGAAACATCATGGTGTATAATTGCACAACAGGCAGCACTAATCCTTTCCACTGGGGTGAAGTTGGTATGATTTTACCTGTGTTTTTGAATGTTAGAGTAAATCTTTATTTAAAATATTCACTGAGTTTTTATGTTAGAATATACCCACAAAGCATTAAAAAGCCACTGAGTTACCAATTTATTCTTATTTTAATTGCCATGTTAGAGTATCTATACCTATACTGCCTTGTGGTCCTTAGCAGTGTTCTGTAAATTAAAAAATATCCTACAGTATATTCCCTCCTTGGCCCACCCTTTTCTGACTGTTGCTATTTTCTTGCTGCCATCTGCAGCATCCCTCACAGACATATGCCCGTGGCAAGGAAACAGTGGTTTTTTCCGTCCCTCATGGGTACTCTCAGTCCTGATGTTGTCTATCCATAGGCAGTATCACTTCCAGCTGTAAGAGTTGTTATATCATAGGAGCCAACTAGCTCCTAGCTACCTACGTAGCCAGCTACCCCAAGAGTATTAAATTAAGGAGTCAGCAAGTAGGATATGTTTTGCCAGAGTATTCTCTATTACATTTACTAATTTATTGAAATTCACAAATTCACAGGAATACGTGTGTGTGCTATATTGCCTGTTCTAAAGTAGGCTTAATAAAACTTAAAGCCTACTGAAATTGAATAATCTTTAAGTTGTTTATGTTTTCAAACTTTAATGTGAGAGATAGTGATGCCATTGATTTAGTAATAGGTCTTATTTTACCTCTCATTGGACAATTTTTGTTGCCCTTACAGAACAGTTTTGATTTTATTTTATTTTATTTTTTTTAAAGATTTTATTTATTTATTTGACAGAGAGAGATCACAGTAGACAGAGGCAGGCAGAGAGAGAGAGAGAGAGGGAAGCAGGCTCCCTGCTGAGCAGAGAGCCCGATGCGGGACTCGATCCCAGGATCCTGGGATCATGACCTGAGTCAAAGGCAGTGGCTTAACCCACTGAGCCACCCAGGCGCCCTTTTTTTTTTTTTATTTATTTATTTATTTTTTTTATTTTTTACAGTTTTGATTTTAAAGTAAATCTTTATGTCATTTGTCCTGGGGTTTTTCTGTGCCATTTTTATTTCAGTTTAAAGATTGGCCCTTATAAGAAAACCATCCAATCTAGGGTGATTTTAATTTTTTGATAATTATTTAAATAGTATTTTTCTAAGGATTTTAAAACACTGAAATGAGTTAGATTTTTGTTATCTCCCATTGTGTTGTAAAGTTTAGTAAAAATCAAGTTGAGCATTATTTTTAAGTGAATTTCTCAATATACGTTTTCATTGAAGTATTAACATAGCTAATAGGTTTGATTTTGTTGATATTGTATTATCTAAATAAATTACAGCAGAAATTAATTTGGGGTTGTTTTAAGCTTGTTGATGTATGTTAATTTGAGCATTGAGCAGCTTAATTATTTATAAGCAAAGGATGATGATTTTCCTTTTCTTTTTTAAGTAAGTATACAGTAATAAGAATCTGGAAAGAGGAACAGAAAGAAAGAAGCTATCGTGAGAGGTGAATTATAGAAAGTGACATTGTAAAATGACATCGGTAAAACATTAAAAGGATTTTTAAGAGTGAATTGTAGCAAAAATTCATTTATCTAATTAAAATTCATAGTGACAGTTCTAAAACCACTCGAGTTCAGCAGTCTAATACCCATATTCTCTTAGCTACTATCGAGAGTAGAAAAGTTTGTTTTTTAATTGAGCGAACTCTGACATCTTTGGTAAAATATTTTGCTTTGTAAAAACATGATTTTTTTTTTCAAAACTTCATTACATGGTTATTATCAAAGCTGTTACACAACTTTTCTTCCTCAGAATACCATGTAATTTCCACTTTCAAGAGGAATCCTCTCGAACAGGCCTTCAGACGGCCCAATGTAAATCTAACCTCCAATCACCTTTTATATCATTACTGGATTGCTGTAAGCCATAAGGCCCCAGCATTCCTGTATGATATCTACCTCAGGATGACTGGAAGAAGCCCAAGGTAATGGTGACTAGCTCTGTCTTATCTGTTCCTCTGACTGTTAAACAACCCATGCTTACACTAAAATGCATATTCATTAACTCTGTATTTGTTTATGCTTATGATAAGGCTTAATGGCCTTTTGTGAATGAGAAGACTCTTGAAATTAAGACTTTGTCAGAAAAGCAAAGGTAGTGTTGTCACTTACTCTAATTTATTCTGAAGTTCGGATGATAAATGATTGTCATGTGCTGAATTCTAGGTCTGACTTTAGGTATATTTTCTGAATAACAAATAACATTCAAAATGCTCTGATGCTTATTTTTCCTACAGGATATTATCTAAATCATTGCTTCAAGATGAATCCTTTAAACCAAGTGGTCAGGCGCCCCAATATTAAGTTGTATTCCAACAACTTACTGCTTCATTATTGGAAGGGTGTCAGACATACAGTACCTGCATTATTGCTTGATCTTGCACTCAGGTTGACAGGTCAGAAACCGTGGTAAGAAGAATAGCAGTAAATACACCTATGTATTGGTAAGGTAGTGGAAGCTTGCTGGAGAGACAAAAAAGTCCGCTAGCATGAGCTTTACCTTTAGAATTACTAACCTGATTAATCACAATCACAATCAGGATGCTAGGACATTTCTTAGAAATTGAGGATATTTGGGGAGGCTAATTGTGGATCTCATTCTTATTGGGCAGTTGATCCTCCAAAATCCCATATTAGAGGAAATGTCCAGCATCAAGGTTGTCATTGTTATTATAAGCTGAAATTGAGCCCCTCTCCCCCCCCTTAAAAACTTAGAGGTGAGTCTATAGGGGATTGAGGGTAAAATGTTTGCTATGAGTGGATTGTGCAGTTTTATGTGAAAAAACATAGAATGCTTCTAGAAAATTAATGGTCTGAAATATCTCAGCTGCCCATTCAGCTTATAATATAGTAATTACATTTTTGACTAATTTTCCAGGTTGAGAATGTCATAGTTTAAAACAAAAGTTAACAAATGGGAAGCTTTCCATTTTCTTATGGTTGTTATATAGCCTTTCTTTCTTCTTTTCTTTCTTATTGAAACGCCACAAACTTAAAGTCCTCCTACTGTCTTTACCAGAATTATAGTGCAATGTACCATAAATATATTTATTTTTTTTAACTACATTGGCATTACAGTGGAACCTTTGATTGGAGAGTTCAGGATTTGAGTATTAATGTATAAAGAAGATGCTGATTCCAGAACTTCCATCAACTGTTCAAAAAATAAAAGTGAGGTATCTGCCAGTTATAGTGTATCAGGATCTGAGTTTCTTATAGGGATTTTCTGTGGATTCAGTTGTCCATTATGTTCCTAACCCAATGTGTTGAATACTGAAACATGTGAGAGGTGTCAAATTGAACAACTTTAGTTTAGGCAAAGAAATACTTAATGGAAAAAAGATCCAAAGTTTATCAAAATTAGATTCAGGTTTTTTTGGAGTGATCTGCAAAATGGAGTATTTATGATGGGCAGCATCTTCCATGGCTAAAAAGCAAATGTAAATTTGTGAGTGATGGCATTACATGCTTTCCTGATATTAATACAGTTGTTACATATTAGAGCTGAAAAGTCAAAACTAGGTCAAAAAAGTAAAAGAGAGTAAACAATATCACAAAGCCTTATATAGAAAAGAGGGCTTAGTAAAGTTAAAACAATGAACAAATAGCCAAAGTTATTGAATAATTTATAGTAGGTGTTGCTATATAACAAATTATCTCAAACTTAGTGGCTCTTAGAAAAGCGGAAGTTACTTTATTATTTTTTTCAGTTTATTGTTTCTTTCAGGATCAGGACTTCAGGGGGGAATCAGCTAGGCAGTTTTGGCTTGGGGTCTTTGTTGTGATGGAGCTGAAAGGGGGGCGTGCAGTGGAAACACCTTGTGTGGCTGTCTCTTCATAAAGTGTCAGGATCTCCTCCTATAGTCTCTCTTCAAGGTCTAGCCTTAGGGGAAATGAACTGCTTACCCAGTGACTGAAGGCTTCAAGGAGAGGTCTTACAGCAGGCAAGTGGAAGCTGTGTGCATCTCCTGACCTACCCATAGAAACCATGCAGCACTACTGCCACCTCATTCTTTGAGTCACATGCAAGTCACAAAAGTCCTCCAAAATTCAAGGAAAGGGGATGTAGAGAATGTTCAAGATCATGTAAAACTTGAGCAAGTTAGTTGAAAGGTATTGTTGAAGCCATTTTGGAAAGTGCAATTGGCTCTAGTCAGCCTTCTGGCCACAACAGTTCTTACTCCTCCCGCATGGAAAATACACTTACTCTTCCCCCGCCCACCAGGACCTTTCTGGCACCCGCTTGAAGCCACCATTAGGTCAACTGAATCTGGCACAATTATAGTTGAGGCATTTTAGGAGTGGTTTTGCAAGTGTAGGCAACAAGAGCCAGAAAGGTTTTTTATTTAGGCAGTTTTATAAATGTTAATTACAAAGTCTTATCATTTATGTTCTTTAATTTGTTCAGATATTTACTGAACAAGGTACTGGGCTTTCTATCTTATATTGGGTCCTTAATATAATGCCTCCTTCTACATTAAAGTAACGTTAATTGTGTCATTCGTGGTGTCCACTTTACACATTTACATTATTCTGTGTGTCAGCTAGATAAAAATCCAACTTCCTCTGTTTCTTGACATAATGATAAAAGTGTCACTCAAACATGTGTCATAAGGAATCCTGGGTAACAGTCACTGGGGACTAGATATATGCTATTATTACAAGTGGAGGCAGTGTAAATTATTCACTCTTACTCTTGAAGTGCAGTAGATAGTTCATCACCCTTAAAAATGACATTAGACAAATGGTTCTATAGTCCAGTTATTTAGCCTAATTCTTTCTAGCTTAACTTCTGTGAATCCGATATTTTTTATCTTTCTGGTTGTTAGTGGAGGACAGTTTTGGCCTCCATCAGGGAACATTTGAAAGTATTTGGGGATTTTTTAATTACTACAACTGGGGGAGGTTATGCTGCTGGCATCTAATGGATAGAGCCAGGGTGCTGAACATCTTACAAGTATAAGACAGCACCCACTCGCCCTGCCACCACAAAGAAGTATTTGGCTCAGAATGTCTGTAGTGTTGAGGTTGAGAAATCCTGGGCCAGATCTTGCCCTACTCTAAAGGATTGTGATGATTTTTTTGCAGGTTGCCATAATAAAGAATAAATACATACTCAGAACATACATGGTCATGTGGTCTCAGGGGGGATCTGCTCATAGGGCATTTGAACGAAAGAGTGATTATGCAAAATTTAAAGTTTTTTTAATCCCCATAATACTCAATCTGGTACTTTTATAGCTTGATAAATAATCTGTGAAGGTCACCTGGATGTGGCTTCTCAGATTTCCTTTTTCCCCTCCAATTTTTTTATATTTTTGAATGCCTGAATCAGTGATTGGTTGCAGGGTAATTCTGTCACTTGAGTGAATCTGAAGATGAGATTCTGAAGATAAATGAGAATTGTCAGTGAAAAAGAAATTAGGAAGAGGAACTTGTTAAGATGTATGTTGGAAAATGATGTTAAGCGAATACCTGTATGTTGTAATTCAAGTGTACTATACTGGTTGTAATAGTAGATATTGATTTAATTACAGACCTGTTACATCTTTTTTGTTTTTGTAATAGGAAGAAAATGGTCTAATCTCTTTCTAAAAGGAGCATGTCTTGGTTCCCCCCCGCCCCCATGTGCTTTCTATGTGTCTGAACTATTCCTATCCAAATACAGCTTCAGTGCTCCGTAATTCTTCTCATGTTTGACGGAAGTTTTATTTTGAGATTATTTTCTTGCATGAACCACAGTTTTTCTTTGCATAGTCCATGTTGCCTCATTTTCTTGTAGTATTCTGGATTCAGGATTTCTTTCTAAATGTATTGAATGTGTCCTCAGAATTGTTGAGCTAATGTTACTGCTTTGACTTTTCCCCATTTCTGTTGTTCTCATTTTCTCCCATTTTCCTCATTTCTAAAACCCCTGATTGGGGGACTTTCTAAACTGTGTAAATGCTAATCCTTATTGTGGAAATTTATAAATAGAATTCTTTTAAACTATTTTTCCACAAATTATTTTTCTGTTTATCAGAGGCCAGAAATTTTGGGTGTGTGTTTTGTTTCAGAAAGTTCTTTCTTCCCTTTTCCTACTTATCATAGGTAATTTTTATATATAGATATTACTGCTCTGGTTAGTGTTATGATATCAATGACTTACAGTGAGCCATGACATAAAATGATAGATTTAAAAATTAAGGCCCCGTGTCTTTTTAAAAAAGAACAAATAACAAATACTAAACTTTCTTATTTCTATAAGGATGGATAATGGGGGTTTGGGGAGTTAATTGAATATCTTGAATATCTATTTCAGAAAGTTTTAAGTGGGAGTCATTGATTTCACAGCACCTTCAGACAACCAAGAGTGGTACCTTTCTGTGTTAAAGAGAAAATTACTTTAAAAGATATATGTGGAGAGAGTTGATTAAATGGCAAACAAATATTTCTGTATACTTTGCCTCCATGATGCTAAAGAGTTGAGATTATAATGTAACACCATATGTTATGAATTCACAGGAAATCTTAGTAATTGTAGCTGAACTAAAATGTGACTGAAAAACAAAGAGCAAGGGAATACCAATTGAATCCATTTATTTGCTTAGGATTATAGTAGAAAATTTGACCTCAAAGTATTGTATTTCCTTTGAAAATTAATTTCATATATCAACAGAACTTTCCTTAGGCAGCATTAAATTCATTTGCTGCTGCTAAAAATTTTTTTCCATATTGGATTTATAAAATGTTCTTTAAAGATACAGAAATATTCTTACTCTCTGGTAGTTTGGTATGCTTACTGAATTACGTATTATAATTTTACTGTTACTATCTCAGTATAGAAACTGGTACCCTGGGTGGTGGTGAGATTTTTCCTAATCTATGCAAATTATGAATCTGCCCATTTTTCTTACAATGCAGGATGATGAAAACAATAACTCGTCTTCACAAAGCTATGGTGTTTCTTGAATATTTTACAAGTAATTCTTGGGTTTGGAATACTGACAATGTCAATATGTTGATGAATCAACTAAACCCCGAAGATAAAAAGGCAAGTATTTTCTGTTTCATATTAGAAAATATGTAGTATACTAGTTGGAGAACCATTAGCAACCTGAGAAATAATTGGATATTTTCCACAATCAGTATGCAACAAGAAAGACATTTGACCTATTTATAGTGTTTCGTTAAAGCTTCAATTGTAATTGGTGGCGGTAAAATAAAATTGCTCGATCTTAAAATTTATAGTGTAAGTATTTGCGAGTGGCAGAGGTGCTTCCATATGATTGAAATGTTGATTCTTTTTTGCCCTTTAGTCAAATTCATAGAAAACTTGGACTTTATGCATTTTTCCTTCACTTTGTTTTCTTCGAATTTCAAGAAAAATTCTCTCCAAAATTGTTTTACTCATATATTCTTACATTTCTTACCACTCCTCGTTTTGTCCTCTGTTAGTTTGAGACTTAAACTCTTCATGTGTGTGTTTTTTTTGAGGTTACCTTAGATTTTTTAACATGCATACCTAACAAAGTCTAATTAAAGTTCTATGGCAGTCCTTCAGCTGTGCCTAAGCCATCCCACTGAATTTTTGATTTCAGGTAATTTCATTTTTAGAGGTTTGGTGTATCTTTCAAATCTTACAGACATTTCTTAAATAATCTTTAGAATTTTTTTGACACATGGTAGACATAATTGATTTAAATTCTATTTCTGATAATCTACACTCCTAAAAGCTGTGCAGCTTAGCATTAGCCGCTTCATCTGTCCTTTAAGCTAGGTCTCACTCATGGCACCTTGTTTCTTGTTTCTTACTGTTTGACTATAAATTCACATTCTTTGAGGATTTCTGTGGGAATTTTTTGGAGCCTGTGTTGAAATTGCGGTTTCCCAGAAAGGATTTGCCCTTGCTTCTGCCAGAAGCCTAGAGACTGTTCGTGTTAACTAGCCAGGTGACATTAACAGGTCCAGACCACTTTGAAATATCTGATGAAGTTTTTAGCACAACTCAGGTGAATATGGGCCTTCAGTAGGCTGGTTCATGATTGCAGTTTCTCAAAGGAGATTTTGTTTTTCACCTTCCCAGTTGCAACTTCCTTTCTCTTTCTACTTCTTTCCTTAAAAATTTTAATGTTTTATTTAATATATCCAAAATAGTATCATGCAATTTATTTATTTATTTACTTACTTATTTTTTAGATTTTATTTATTTATTTGACAGAGAGAGATCAAAAGTAGGCAGAGAGGCAGGCAGAGAGAGGGGGAAGCAGGCTCCCCGCTGAGCAGAGAGCCCGATGCGGGACTTGATCCCAGGACCCTGAGATCATGACCTGAGCAGAAGGCAGCTGCTTAACCCACTGAGGCACCCAGGTGCCCGTATCATGTAATTTAAACAAAAACTTAAAAATTACTTAAAATTTAAAGAATTATTTAAAAGATATTATACTTGCAATTTTTTTATATTGAGCCTTTGAAAACCAGTGTGCATTTTACACTCTCCAGCACATCTCAGTTCAGACCACTTTTAAGTTCCCAGAGATGTGTGTGGCTTGTGGTGGCTACCATATTAGATAATGCAGATTTAGTCTCATTGTACTGGTTGTGCATAACAAAGGCATCAAGAGTGCAGTTTTTCTGTCCACTTCTCTGTGTGGTGGGTTTACTTTTTTTTCCTGCCTTTGCTCTGAGGCTACAGCTTTTGGGATTTTTATCTTTTTGCAGAAGGATTCCATAAGACTCCTTAACTTATTGGGCCATAGGGTTTATAAGCCAGTCTTCCTCCTTGCTTACAGCCTTCAAAGCAGAAGGTGTAAGGTATCAGGGTCCTGCAGATAACCTCAGGTTAGAAGATTTGTGGCTTCTACTGATCCTTATTTTCTCCCTTCCCATCTTCCCTCCCCCCATCCCAGTGCACAACACATGCTGCCCAGTGGATTTTCAGAAAGTGAGCACCCAGTTGAAGAAATAGAACATTATTATCCCCAGAAGATCCCCTCGTGCCCCCTCGCAATCACTTTCTCCCAAAAGTAGCAACTGTCTTGAATTCTAACACTAAATGGTAGTTATACGCATTGTTGGCTTTGGGCAAATGTTATCATACAGTATTTTTTCTTTGTTTGTGGCTATTAGGAATAATTCTTTGAACCATGTGCACATATTTGTTATAGGATATATTCTAGAAATAGAATAGTAGCTAAGTCAAAGTGTATTTGTATGCTTAATGTAGCTGATAATGCTAAACAGTTTTCCAAAGTAGTTGTACCAATTTACATTTTAAGTGGCGATTTATGAGAGTTCTTGTTAATTTATATCCTCTGAACAGTTGGCCTTTTCATCTTAGTTTTTAATTTTAGCCACTTTGGTGGGTGTATAGTGGTATCTTAAAGTAATGTTAATATGCACTTCATATTACATAAAAAGTTTTGTGTAGAAATGGCAAAAATTACCAATAACCCTGCTGAAAATGGGCTAGAGATGAACAGTTTACAGCAAATAAGTGCAAGTGATTCTTAACCATTCAAAAAGAATGAATTTCACTCATAAAAATGGAAATGTAAATTGAAACTAGACTGAGATATTTACTACTTAACAGTTTGCAAAAATGCAGGCTTTGCCAACATACCCTTCTGGTAAGGCTCTGGCCAGTGGGAGCTCTCATACATTGTTGGTACAAAGGTATATCTTTCTCTGACCTTGTATTTTCAACTTTTCTGTATCCTTATCTTTTAGATATTTCTCTTATAAGCAGAATAGAGGTTTATTTTCAGTCTGACAATTTTGGACCCTTACTTGGAAAACTTAATCCATAATGTAATTTCTGATAATATTTGATTTAAATCTAACTCCTAGTGCTTTCTATTTGTCTTATTTTAAGTTCTTTTTTTTTCTTTCTTTGAGGTTATTTTTTACAGTTTTCTATTTTCCCATCTGTATCAGTTACACAAAAGTATATTAGTTGTATTGGTAGATTACTCTAGAGATTACAGCAGCCTTCCCTTACTTTGTCAAGGACTAATATGATATTGGTACTACTGCCCTTTTATGGATAGTGCAGGGACCAATACATATTTTATTTATTTATTTATTTATATTTTTATTTTTTTATAAACATATACTGTATTTTTATCCCCAGGGGTACAGGTCTTTGAATTGCCAGGTTTACACACTTCACAGCACTCACCATAGCACATACCCTCCCCAATGTCCATAACCCCACCCCCCTCTCCCGACCCTTCTCCCCCCAGCAACCCTCAGTTTGTTTTGTGAGGTTAAGAGTCACTTATGGTTTGTCTCCCTCCCGATCCCATCTTGTTTCATTTATTCTTCTCCTACCCTCCAACCCCCCACATTGCATCTCCACTTCCTCATATGAGGCAGATCATATGATAGTTGTCTTTCTCCGCCAATATGTATTTTAATTCTGCATGTGCGTTATAGGTCTCACAATCATTATTCTTTTTTTTTTTTTTTTTT